GGGGGGGCACCTTCTCACCAGTAGCACTGAGTATCATATTTAGCAAGCAGCAGATGCCGAAGACAAGATTAGGCCAAGAGACCTTGTCCTCAGTCACGTCAAAATCACGTAGTAGAAAAATGAGCTGACTCAGCAAAATGAGCAGTCCGGCCGCGTGAGTCCACACATTTAGGGTCTCATTGTGTAACTGGGGGGAAGAAACAAGTTGGATTGGTTAATTTGTTTTAGTACAGGTTTTACGGCGCTCGCAACTGGGCATAAGGTCATATGAACGCCAGAAGATTAGAGGTGTTACAGGAGAGTAACATATAAAAAAGAAGAAAGGGAGATAAGGACGATAGATGTTTGATAGGACAGAAGGAGCAAACCACACCATAGCACCCGCCAACCACCCACAAATGGGTTATTGACAGTCGTGTATTCCCATGAAAGTTTAACACGACAGACAGACATGCAGACAAATAGATATGTTGAAACAACTCTTATTGAAACTAAAACTAAACAGGAGGAGGGCGGAGGGTGGGGTGTTGCTGTTGATGTGATGGAGCAGTAATTCATAGCCCTGTGTAGCATACTGAGGTCAGAGGTCCGGACTTAACGGTTAACTCGAGCATCACGCCAACATAGCCAGTCGTTTCCGGGTTCTGTAAGACATAGCTGCAAACCAATTGTGCCCCCACCCCCACCCCAAACTGACACGCAAAATTTGCGCATTAGGCCAAGCAATTCAAAATGAGAGTTGGGGGAGGGGTATACTTTACTTTTAAGTCGCAAGTGCTCTTCTTTTAGTAAGCTCTTTGCGACACTTGCAACACAAAATTTATTTAAAAAGGGGGAGAGATAAGGACGATATGTTTGATAGGAAAGAAGGAGCAGACCACACCAGAGCACCCGCCAACCACTCACACATAAGTGCAGTCACTCACCCGGGCAAAGCTCATCAAATAATATCCCCAGGGCTTGTACAATCTGCGGTAGCCTGTGAGGATGAAGGGCTCCTTCATGACGTCGGGAACCTGCTCCACGGTCAGAAGGCCTTGACCTTCACCCCCACCGCAGAGTAGTTCGGCCTTGACCCAGGACAGACAACTCTGCAACATCAGCCAGAGCTGTTGAGATTTTGATTCCATATCAGACATGGCGTCCTGTCCCTCGCGCTGATCGAGACGAGCAGACGTCAGATTGGGTTAGAGTTCTACTCCTTTTTCATTACAGCCTGCAATCTAGCACGTTAATGAGGAGGGGCTTTCGCACGCACATCCATTTCCGGAGGCAATAGCAATCTTGAAAACTATGAAAGTCCCGAATCGGTTACTGCCCTCGCGTTGGTTTATACATCATGAAGGCCTACTATAATCTAAACCAAATCAACAACAACAAAAAAAGAAGGAAAGAATTAACCACGATATTCTACAATTGCTACGTGTGTCCGATTTCACCCATTACTTCGTCATCTTTTTTCAATCTTTCTCTGTGGTCGATACGATCAGGTTTATGCCGCTTCTCCAATTTAGCAGCTGCTGTCGCGACCAAATCAGTAGAGGGAAAGGAGGTTGATAATATGCTGTGTGTTCATGTCTCCAGGTTGATTAGGCAGGGCGGGACGTAAGGCTAGTTTTGTCTCGTCTGTTCTGTGTATGACCCTTTGTTGAGATTCTGTTTCTCAAAGACCTGAAATTAACACGTATATGTTAACAAAAGTTACGTCATATATGAGTGGTGAACTCTAAATCAGAAATGGGCATTCTAACAAAATTTGATACGGTAATGAATCATGTTCTTCTCTGTTCTAAGATCAACCCAGCAAAACTATATTTTTTGTTTTGTTTTTTGTTGCCGTTTTTTTTTGGGGGGGGGGGGGGGGTAACGCCCCCATCTACACAATTTAGAAGGCAGGCATCCAACTCTGCCTGTCAGGGCCAACCCAGGCTGAGAGGGATACAACATCCCAACAGAAAGACCGTGGTATTCGATAAAAATTCCCCTCATTCGGGAATCGAACCCGAGTCTCCTGCATGCGACGGCGAAGCGCCTATATATAACAGCTACACCACAGACGCCGGTCACGCACAGCTGGGCTAGAACATCGATGGTTGTTCGACTAAAGTAGTAATAATAATAATAATAAAATAATAATAATAATAATAATAATAATAATAATAATTTTCTTGAAAGATGCTAAATGCGCATTACAGTCAAAGAAATATCACATTTAAAGTGACTTGATTGGTTTAAGAACACATAATGCAACCTTTCTATATAATGAATTTGTCACGCAGCAAGCCTGCCAACGATAATGCGAATAAACTTACCGGTACCGGTACCATCTTTGCCGGTGCAAAAGAAGGCACTATAATAATGTGAAAAACAGAATACAGACAAGAAGTTCGAAGAAAAGATGGAAGGAACACACACACACACACACATGCACACACACACACACACACACACACACACACACACACACACACACATGCACACACACACACACACACACATGCACACACACACACACACACATCTATCTATCTATCTATCTATCTATCTATCTATCTATCTATCTATCTATCTATCTACTATCTATCTATCTATCTATCTATCTATCTATCTATCTATCACCACACACAATCACGAACACACATACACAGATAAACTCACAATCTGGAAGTACGAACAATTATTGTCCAGAAAGATACATTGAAATGAAAGTACTGTTTCTCCTGGTACCGCTTGGACAGTACACCACTCACTTTGGAAAACTTAGAAGTTCTTTGCAAGGATGTTATAGTAAGAACAATGTCTCTTTGTAATATCCTTGAGCGTGCTGGGCTCCTGGTTGGATAAATCAGTGGCACGCGTGTTCGATTGGTCAAATCTTATATTTTTTGGGTCTAGCCACAACTTGCTCCAAACGACAGCTGGCCCCGTTTTCCTGACCAAAGTCCTCTGTTGTTTTGACTGGTAATTAATCTGATTTCTCTGAGTCTTGAGGGATTTTCCACTAGAGCAGAACGTTATACCTATTTTGCGTAATCCGCAATACCAAAGACGGCGCTGTTCCACAACCAAGCGTTTTTAATGCAGATCCTTTATTCCTACACTATGCTTAGTACATTCTGGGGTTTTTTTTTTTTTTGCTTTGGTTTTAATAAAAGAAAGCTGCCCAGGGCATCAGCAATGAACAAAAAAGAGCAAGCAATGAAATTGTCCTATCCAAAGCTGTTTTGACTTTAGTCTACTTTTGATTTTTAGTGAAGAGAAGTACATATCGACGCCATGACGGTTATCCAGCGCTGATAAAAACCAATACATGTATACAACTAATACAACAGAGGAACTACAAAAAAAAAGTAAAGCCAGCCTGCCTGTGGCGCCCTCCAACCACCTGCCTATGAATAGAAGTTGTTAGTATTACCAGTTTTTTTTAGTAATCGAAGGAATTCATCGTTACTATTTCTGTAAGGAGATTGACATCACGAGGATATTGATAATATAATTTTATAGCACATTCCATACCTAATCGATGGTAATAGCTTTTAGTCTTGCGAACTACAAATTTTCAACACACATGGGGTTCGGAGTACATAAGGGTCGAACAGTAGAATTGGTTTGGGTTAAAAATATGTTTCCAGTTTTAGCACGAGTTTACAGCGCTTGCAACACAAAAAGTGAAATAAGTGCCGAAGATTAGAGGTAGCATTATAAAAGTTGAAAGAGTAACAAACACAACAAAGAAGGAAGAGAGATCTGGACGATAGATGTTTGATAGGAAAAAGAGGAGCAAACCACACCAGAGCTCCAGCAAACCACACACTTTTCTTCACTTTGCTGAGTTTCGTGAACTACACATTTTCAACATACTTGGAGTAAAATGTACATAATGGTCGAGCAATAGAGCTTTTCTATTTCTCCTGTTCATATGACTTTTAAGATAGTGATTGATTGGTACAAAATGTAAAGACGCATCGTCGGTTGCCGACTCTAACCATGTAGATCTATCTTCCAAATTAGGACTAACATTTTTTTATGTTTTTATTTTTAAATTAATTTATAATTTGTTAACTTTTATTTTATTTACTTTTTTTTTGGGGGGGGGAGGGGATGCAATTTCTGTCTTACTATGTTACTGGCGTATGTGATGTAACAGTTAGGCGCTTCGTCTCTTTGTCGGGCACAGGACACCCCAGTTCAATTCCCGAGAAGGGAGAATTTTTAGCGAGTATCTTGGTCTTTTTGCTGGGACGTTGTATCCCTCTCAGCTCGAGTTGGCCATGACAGGCACGGTCGGAACCCACTTCATAAATGAACTAAACTGTATCGCTGGGGACATGAATGCACCTAGTTTTTAAAAAAAAAAGATTATCTTCCAGAAATACTCAAAACGTTTATAATTATTTAAAACTTTTATAAGGAAAGAATTTTACGGCACTTTCAACACAATTATTAGGTTACACAAACCGACCACCCGACTCGCGGCCTTGAAAACAGACCCATTTGTTCTTTAGGGTCACTGTAGGCTTCGTTCGGGTTGTGCCACGATGGTCGCTTTTCGCCCTCAATCTGGCTAGCCCCGCTACCTAACCGAATAGAAGCGAACCGATCTGAACCGATTGTACCAATGGGCTCAACTCGGCCCGACGCTACCTCCTTAGACACAACTGTTCCCATTTACCTATAGGTCCTGTCGGCGATGGACGTTAAATTCGGAGGTCCTGCCTCTTCAATAAACTTACTGTATTGCCAGGTGCGTTAAACCTATACAGTTTTGCATATTTTATTTCAATGATAATGAAAAGAGATTGCATTTATATAGCGCTCTATCCTATACTAGTGCACGCTCTGAGCGCTTTACACCAATCACATGATCATTCACACAAGCGAAAATATTTCACAGAAACAAAAAAACCCAGTTCAACCACATTAAAAAGAACTTTCAAAACCATACATGAACTATATATACGATAGAACAGAAGTACAACAGAAACCATATCGACACTTACTAAAACACAAAAACTAAGACTTCTTGTAGCACTAGGTCATAAATTGTCCCCAGTTAATCAAGATTACATGAAGCTGAATACTGCCATGTCCAAATCAACATTTATAAATACGTGACTGCGCAACTCCAGCAATAAATGACCATACACATTTACACAGGAATCTGTAGCACCACTGTTACTATTGCTTAACAAAACCGCGTCTGCAACATCAATCTATACTACAGCACTATACCAGTGAAGAAATCCGCCTGGTCACTCAGGAATCTCACTCTCAGTGAGCATGAAACTAAGTAGGAAAGAGTGTGTGCTACAAGAAGTCTGTTTGAAACGAATGGTTTCAGGCCTGAAAATCGTTGTGACAGTTTTACACCCTTCTTGACACAGTTCAGGAGGCGGGCTACTTCAACGCAACGTTCAATGCCAGGGCAAATCCGGGTGAGAGAAGCACACCGCACCAGCAAAAAAACCCAGAGATAATAAATGAACTCAAGAAAAAGGACTTCACAAAGCATGAATCACACTCTTATCTTTTTGGAGAGTTTGTTACTAATTTTTTTTTTTTAACAGACGCTGGTCTCTTTAGTTATAGTAACTTAAGAAATGAACTGCACTTGCAACACAATAAGGTCATATAAGTGCCGAAGAATAGAGGTGTTAGGCCTTCAACAAGAGAGTAACAAACACAAAACACAGGAGGATGGATATTTGATACGAAAGAAGGAGCAAACCACACCAGAGTACTAGCCAGCCACCCACTAAGTGGGTCAAAGATAACATCGCGTGTACAACTTAAGCAAGCGTAAATCATTTATAACTGTTTTTGTGTTGTATGACCTAACATAATTTTACTGACTTTGGGCTTTCAATATTTGAGCAAAGAGACGCATATCGACACAATAATGGTCATTTTTCACTGATAGAACGAAAACCCCCCAACAATAATAACAACAACAACAACAACAACAACAACAACAACAACAACAACAACAACAACAACAACAACAATAACAACAACAATAACAACAACAGCAGCAGCAGCAACAAGAAGAAGAAAAAGGAAGGTATACAAAAAAGGATGTAGCAACGATGCCTTTCAACAGCTCTCATTTGTTTGAGTAAAGAGAAGCGCATCAGCACAATAATTTTCATTTAGAACTGGGGAAAAATAAGACTGACAGACAGAAACAACAGAGGAAACGTAAAATAACTTTTATAAGGAGGACCTGGCAGTGGCGCCCTCCAACCACCCACCATGGCTCTCGGCAGATTGGTAAATTGTTGTTCGGTGATGACGGACCACCTTAGTCATATCCATCGTATATA